AAGGATGATGACCTCAATGAAAAAAGCAAATGCTTGAAAGCATGCATTTAGTTGAATGCTTCAACCTTAAAGCCAACAACCTGATACTAGGGTTATATGATTTCTTTTTTAAAATAAAAATAAAAAAGTACAGTATACATAACAAATTAGTGGCACCAGGGGGAGCCACCCATTTACAAAATATTTACAGCTATATTAGTGTATTTATGACATTCCCAAAATCTTCCATCTTATATTATATCATGACTCAAATCAAAGACCAAAAATAGTGTATCCATTTATCCTTAATTTTAAACATCTCTCCTTCAATCCCCTCAAACATCCTTCTATTTCTCTCTTTCAAAACCGCCCAAAATAGGGTTATATGATTTCATAATACAAAGGAATGCTCAACAAGAGGCTAGCTATTCTTTCCCAAGATTAGTTGGTCTTCCTTCTTTCTTTACTTTTATTTTTTTTTCTCCTATTGAGCATATCTAGTCCTTCTTTATTTTTGTCATTCTTCATTCTTCCTTTTCAATCAGATTTCTTCCTCTATTAAAAAAAAAAGTTATTTCAGACTTTGAACCCAATCCTTTCTGGGGTTTTCCTGAGACGGGTACTACTTTGGCTCAAGTTGAATTCTTATCTGTCAATGAAACTATAATCTATCACTGATATGCTAAAACAAAATCAAGAGCACGAAATGAACAATTAGGTAGCAGAAGAATCATTTCACATTTTCATAAATAATACTTTTTTAAAAATTCTAAAAACTTGTCAAGTCTGCTCCTTTTAGAGTGACGGTACTTGCCATGGCTAATGGAATGAACTAAATGACCACAATAATTCAACAGGAGAATCATCAAAAATAATTTCAACTAGTCAAGTCTGTCGAGAAAGGACTAGCTCATAAAAATCCAGGATATGTATAAGAAAGCTTATACCTTTCCAAGCTTTGCAAGAGATGATGGAAGTGACGCCCACTGAATGCTTCCATCCGTCAGCCTTCGACTGTTTATTGGAACCTTAACCAAGTTCCCTGGAACTCCATTACTAGTCAATTCTCCTGATAATTTTTTTATCGGAGAAATTCTTAGCTTATTTGACTTCTCTTGATCATCCAGAGTTCCATTTGCAGTGACTTTTTTGGTGAATGTCTGAACCCTATTTTCCTCTTTTGATAACTTTGAAGACATCGGGATCTTCTCGTCTTTAGGTGGCAGCCTCTCACTTGATGTACTTTTCCTAGGAGCCTGGTAGATAGAATTTCATAACAAAAAGATAAATGCACCATAACTTTTCAAGATGTTCTGGTACTTAACTTAAATCAAGAGAATATGCAAGGTCAATTCAGACATAATTGAAGTGCAGGACTGCATCCTAATCGATAGAACTACTCATCTTATTTTACATATATAAAGAGAACCAATAAAAATGATGAGACTTACAGATGTACTCCGAGCTTCAGTCTTTGACTCATATTTCGGGGTCCTCAGTTTCAAGTTATCCCGGCTCTTCACTTCAATATTCCCTTCCCAGCTCTTTCTCAGAGCCTTTGCCCCTAGCTCAAATCCCTGAACAATATTCTTTATGACAGGCATCTTTTTCCTGATCGGACTCTCCCCTCGAACAGAACTTGCCTTTTCCACTGAACCCAATTTAGGCGTACCCGTTTCCATTCCTTTAATCTTCCCCTGTTGCTTAATCCCATTTGCAAACTTCTCAAAAGAAGTAGGCAAAGAATAACAACTCGTGGGAGAAGACGGAATTGACCTAGAACTCAATGATTTCAATCTCCCCAAAGATTCCTTCTTCAATTCCAAACTCAATGCTTGTTTCGATAGCTGAGACTTCGATCTAGTTAAACCCGCTGTCTTCTTATCCAAATGATCTTCCTTACTCCCACCATTTGACCTAGAACCCACCAATTTCTCCTTTTCTCCAACGCTACCATTGCCCAACACAACTTTGGCAGGTGATTTAAGTTTCTCCCCATGCTTTGAACTATTAGTAATCTTTCCACTACCATTAATGCCATTGAGGAACCCTAGTGAGTGAGTTGCCACAATATCCTCAGGGTTTCCTACACAAGGATGCCGGCCAGGGACCGGTCGGACCCCTCGAAGAATAGGGACCGGTGAAGCTGATTCTAACCTATCCACATGTATAAACTGACCTAATTGGATCTTATCACTAAGAATTAAATCATCATGTTCATCAGGTAAAGATACATATGTGGCATGTGATGAATCTGATACCTTGAGGTAAAACCCTTGGTTAGGGAATAGTTCACCTCCAGCAAGCGCAGGGACTATACTTACAACCTGTAATAGAGACGACCGGTGCTCGCCAGATACTTTAACATCAGTGTTCATATGCTGCAAAAGCTTGAGAAGCACGCCTGGGACAAGATTCGCCATTGATGCAGACCTTCAAAATATTGCATCCCTGTACCAAACTTCCATATTAAAATACCAAAGATCTTCCCGTCGAAAATAAAAGTTTTTTTTTTTTTTCCCAATACCCAGATTGAGAAACACGTTTTTCCAAACTGGGTCCTTCTTGAAAATGAAGATTGGGTGGTGTTCAGAGAACGGGGGGAAATGGGTTTTATTGGGTAATGGAGAACGCAACGTTTCGGATTCAGATCAGTGAGCGTGTTACAGCTTCTGGCTCTAATAATGAGAAACCGAAACAAAATAGATGAGATTTATTTCTGTATTAAAAAAGGAAAAAAAAAAAAAAAGAAGAGCGTTTGACAGTTTTGGTAGTCTGAAAGTAATAATGGTGTACAGCTAGGAAAATCCGAAGGAAACTGCCACTAAAATTTTCTCACAACCCAAACAAGGAAAACGACTAAAATCGATAAAAATTAAGAATCTTTGACAGTTAACATAAACGAGAAAGAAAACCCAGAAGGAAAAATCAAAACCCAGTTTCCTAAAATCAAAAACTGTTCCACTTGAAGATGTTAAAATTATTTTGACTTGGGATTAAAACAACAGAGTGGAGAAGCTTCTCTGTTCAGAAAATGATAAAAGAGAGAAAAACAAATTCTTAGAGATGAAGCTAAGTGACCTGTAACTGCAATGTAGAATAATTGAAGCCAGGCCTATTGCATGATTGAACGGACCAGAGGAGGAAGATAGATAGGTGTCAGGATCTGACACACACACGCAACAGACAAATCCGCCATTAGAAAAAGAAAGAAAGGAAAAAAAAAAAATTGAAGCTGACTCCTTTGGGTTTGATTGAGTTTGAGTTCCAGATAAAGGAAAATCACAAGGAGAGTACGAGGGAGAGAGAGAGAGAGAGAGAAAGCTTTTCACTTGTTTGTCAATGGAAAATCAGAATACTCAGAGGGAAAAAAAAAATTTGGGTCTGAATTCTGAAAGAATTTTCTCTCACAAGAAACTGAAGAGGGAATCCTGAATCCTGAATCCTGAATACTGACAGAAAAATTTAATTCTTTTCAAAAATTTTATAACCGGAAGTTATTATCTATTCACGAACATGAAAATCCATTTACTGCTGGTAAACCAAGATTGACATCCAAGTCAAACCTTTTAGCCAAGTTCATCTGATTTTTTTCAAAAAAAAAAAAATCAAACTTGAATGGTTTGAAGAGCACAAAACTGAATTTTAACATATAAAAAACGATTAATCCTGACAGTTAAAAAGAATTAGAGAATATATTGGTATTTAAAAACAAATAATTTATTATATGAGTGAATTATTTTGTATTTTATATGGGTATAAGCAAGCAAATGGATGCATGTGGAGGGTAATGGGGGTTGTTTGGAATAAGGTAATGGTGTGTCGGCTACCTGAAAAAGGTGTCACATCCCCAAGATAATTGAATTTATTTAATTTATTTATTTTATTCTTTTGTTTTTTTTTATGGTTTAATTTATTTTTTGACAAGTAATTATTTATTTTTGCTTCAAATTTTTTTTTTGGGTAATATATATATATATATATATATATTTGTCAAAGTGAGTGCTTGAAAATAATGAATTATCAAACATGTGGAGATTATTAGAAAATGGGCCCTTTTGTTTTTTGCTTTCAATTTTTTTGGCACCTAATAAATAAGTACATTAAATTAAAAGTGTAAAAAAGAAGAAAAAAAAAACAAGTTTCATAGTTTGAAAGTACAAAAATATTTTTTAGCTTGATTTATTGGGATTCTTTTAAAAACTATAATATACATATATATATATATATATACTTTTAAAAACTATTCTCTTTCTATTTTTCCTAAATATATATTACATGATATGTAAAATTTTGTTGGGTAAAAAAATATTTTATTTAACAAATTTTATAAATTTTACTACAAGTAAACATTTTTTAAAAAATATTTGTTGATGTGAAATTATACAAACTATAAATAAATAATTTTTTTTTAATTATAATTGACGTGAAATAAAAAAAAATTATTTGTAAAATCAAAAATTTTAATTTTTTTAAAAAAAAAATTGATTATTTTTTAATATAACTAATTTGTTAATATGATACAATAAATAATTATAATAAAATAATAATTTAAGTAATTTTACTTAAAATATAATGTTGAAGTAATTATGGATATTCATAACTTGAAATTTTGATAGTTGGGAGTTTTTAGATTTATAGATATCATAAAGAAGATATGAGGGAAAGTTACTTAATGCTATATATATATATATATATATATATATATATATAAGTACATGCATTGGTGTTACTCAATGGTCCCAAGTGCATGCATTTTCTTAGAAAGCACATCAAGGAAACAAAATAAGCTAAAAGTGAAAGGTAATTATAAGTTGTCAAGTCAACTTCAATATTATATATATATATATATATACACACACAAATATATATATATGTATATACAATTCAATTATTATTTCTTAAAGTTAAATAAAAATATTTTTTGGATCAAATTTTTTATGTATTAATATCAAATTTTGAAAACTAATTTAATAATTTACTATAAAAAATAAAGTCATGTAATTAAGATGGTGAACACACTTTTTATGACAATATTTAATTACCTTGTTTGAGATATATATGTATATATATATATATATATATATTAGCTTTATGAGGTTATAATTAACATTTTGACTCAATTAAATTAGATTAAGCAATGTAATCTAAGTAATAAACCAAACATGCTAGTAATTCAAATTAAAAACCTTAAGAAGATAAAATTTTCAGCCTAATTGCTTCCTAAAATTACATATTATATTTATTTATTACATGTATGTAAGCGCACATACAAACATATATTACATGTGTATGTAAAGCGAAGGTACAAAGTAATGCATGATGCTACCTCTATTGTTTACATAACCAATATCTAATGATCTTCAACACTTCTAATGTCGTCTAAAAGTTACATGACAATTGTATACATTACTATATATATACATACATACATGCATAAAGAAGAAACTAAACGATGGTATAAATTACCATCATTATTATACACATGGCAATTGTATACATTACTTTTTTAATCCTTTATAATCATTCCAACTAATAAAATCTAACTCTAATAAAATATTTACATTAAAAAAGTAAAAAAATTAATTTAACTTGGTCTTATAATTTCAATAATATATTTATAAATTAAATTAATTATTATAAACTGAATAACTGTCAACTCATAATATATATATATATATATAATTATACACTACTCAACAATTAATTCTAATGCATACCACATTAGATTCATGCATGAATGATAATTAGGATAAAGCATGTGATGAGAGTTTGATTACTAATGTGAGAGTGAAAGTGTGAAATCAAAAATGTGTATTTGACAAATTACCCATTTTTTGTTTGGTTAAAAAAAAATATTTTTGAAGCTTTGTGGATGTAATATTCATATATATATATATATATGTCAAAAATGTGTCTTTGACAAATTACCCATTTTTTGTTTGGTTAAAAAAAATATTTTTGAAGCTTTGTGGATGTAATATTCAAATATATATATATATATATATATATATATGTCAAAAATGTGTCTTTGACAAATTACCCATTTTTTGTTTGGTTAAAAAAAATATTTTTGAAGCTTTGTGGATGTAATATTCAAATATATATATATATATATATATATATTGTTTTTTTTTGGTGATGTTAGAAAAAACATATATATATATATTTAGAAACATATTTTATATGTAAATATTTTAAAAATTAGGTTGTGATTGATAACCCAATAATATTTTGATTGGAAAGTGGTTC